TGTTTCTGAGGATATTTTTATACCCTCTTGGGTATTTAAAATATGTGTATGTTTTCAGTTTTCTCACATTTTCACACTTCTGTTCCTTTCTTTCCCCTCAATTTTATTGATGCCAAATTTTTAGACATTTAAAGTTTCTAGTCTGTACCTCCTACCCTGTAGGTACTTTAGTCTAAAACTAAACCTGTTGAATAACTTTAAAATAAAAAGTTTAAAAACATTTCTTTATAAGAAATGAATTTAAAATTAATTACCTTCTACCACTGGTCGGCAAAGTGCGGCTCGCGAGCCACATGCGGCTCGTTAATTACCTTCTACCAGTGGTCGGCAAAGTGCAGCTCACGAGCCACATGCGGCTCTTTGGCCCCTTGAGTGTGGCCACGAAGTTTCAGTTGCACTGTACGTGCGCACCCGGACGTGGTATTTTGTGGAAGAGCCACACTCAAGGGGCCGCAGTTTTCCGACCACTGCCTTATACCATGAAAAGCTATTTCAAATAAATAAATTAGCCTGACTGTTGGGAAGGGACACCATGAAGGGGAGTAGATGAAATACCTTCTCTACCGAGAGTGCATTCTCAGTATTGGGCCCGGTGCTCTGTGTGCCCTGCTGGGCCCCTCCTCCTGCAGCCTTTGCTTGTGTCTGATTTATGGAGGAGGATTTCAGGGTTCTGTGAGAGAATGGATGGTCAGTAATTCAGTGAAAAGCAGTTTAATGTATGTTCAGAATCTCTCTTGGGCTTTAGGTCATTAATCCTAAACTAGCCCTGTTTGGGTAGATTAGAAACCTGCTAATTATTTGAGTTAAATAATTGTAAAGATTCCTTTTTTGTGTGAATGATTATGTATTCGAATTCCCTCATTTCATCTCGCATAGTTGTTTTATAAATACACACATTTTTAGAGGTCTTCTCTAAATATGTCCACATTTGGGATTTTAGTGTAAATGCTGAAATTAAGGATCAGCATTCCTTTAGGTTTCTATAATTAGCTTTCCTTTCTGAAGCTGAAATGAAGGAAGATTAAAGACTTCTCAAACATATTCTAGCTTTTGGCTAAAGATCCTAACATTTATCCAAAGTTTTAAAAAGTACTACTCTTTACCTATCTCTTGATCGCTCAATATTTAGTCTGTTTTTCTATTTTTTATATATAAGTATAGGAGTGTTTGCCTCACTCTAAAAATTAATGTTTATAAAAGGTTTTTTTAAATTTAATATTTTTATTGATTTCAGAGAGGAAGGGAGAGGAAGAGAGAGATAGAAACATCAATGATGAGAGGGAATCATGGATCGGCTGCCTCCTGCACACCCCCTACAGGGGATCGAGCCCGCAACCTGGGCATGTGCCCTTGGCTGGAATCGAACCCAGGACTCTTCAGTCCACAGGCCAATGCACTATCCACTGAGCCAAGTGGCTAGGGCTATGAAAGGTTTTAAGAATGCATTATAATGTAAAGTGTGCAAAAGAGGGAAACGATTGTATATTTATAGGGAAAAGGCTAAATGGAAATATAAATCCCAAGCTGGTGGGTGGCTGCCTGGTCTGCCTGTAAGAACTCCAAAGTAGCCCCTCCCCCATGGTATCAGCCCCTCCTGCCGACCCGCCACCTCCTGCTGGGGCAGCGTCCTGCCTGCCTGCTTCTCCCCGGGCAGCAGGGCCCAGGGCCCAGAGGGTGCCCTTCTCTGCTCCGCTCTAGGCAGGCTCTTGTGTTCTGATTGTCTTCGCTGCCGCTGACCCACCTTATCCTGTTGCAGTCCGAGCAATGGGTGGAGTTCCTGCCTTCACTCACTTTAGTTTTAGTTTGTATTTTGGTGTTTTTTTTTAGGAGAGTGGAGGGGAGGGAGAAGGGGGAGAGAAACAAGATGCAAGAGAGACACATCGATTAGCTACCTCTGGCATGTTCCCAGACTGGGGCTGGGATCAAGCCTGCAACTGAGGTACGCGCCCTTGACTGGGAACTGGCACTCTAACCACTGAGCCCACTGGCCGTGTGTGTGTGTGTGTGTGTGTGTGTGTGAGTGTGACTTCCAACTTCCATTCAGTAAATGCTTATTTACACTTAAGGAAGCTTAGCTTTTTTGTATAAGAAGTAAAAGCTCTTTGGACTTAAACTTACTCCCCCCATTCAGTTTCCTCTGTGGTCTGCTGTGGCGCACACACTTGGTTTCCCTTTTTCTCCGTTTTGCTTTCCAGGCTTTTATGGCTTGGAGCAGTGCCCCCCACTCCCCACCCCCAGCTCCACCCTGGCGGGTCTACCAGGCTGACTGCTCCCTGCGTGTCCCATGCATTTCTCAGTCCCCACAGGCTGGCTCCCTTGTCTGCCGTTTAATGGTTGTGTCAGCTGTTGCCTTGGCTCCCACATCTGTAAGGTGGGATGGTGATGTTATTTATCTCGCAGGTTGTTCACAGAATTGCATGGACTGATACAGCCCAAATGTGTTAGCAAGCGTTTCATACAGTTCTGGTTTATCATTTGTTGCTTCCATGTCTACATTACTTGCTGCTAATGGCCCTTTCTGTGTACACACACACACACACACAGACACACACACAGACACACACACA